ATAATCACGGAACTTGCCTCTCATGTCACTGGAAACCTTCCGTACCTTCCAAAGTCTGTCGTGTCTGCCCTCATTTGCATTATTTTCAAAATACAGGCACCTGAGAAGCAACAGGAACCTATCATGCGACAAGTACCTGTTGAACACGGGTGATGGAACGGGCTGTCTTTGCTCCAATAATCCTCGATGATGTGTTTCTCACAGTGCTTCATTATCATGCTTAGTGCGAGAAACACGTACATTTCGTCAATTGTGGTGTCCTTTCATCGCGTAAGGCAGGTAAAATGCCAGCGTCTATGAGGCTATGAGCGTATCTGTTTGTGCAGTTACAAGATGGGTTATGAATTTGTTGTCAAAATACGTCAGGAAATAGTCTATTTCTGCCATATCCTCACCTGTATAGGGGAATAATGGTGTCACACCAACATTGGTACCATCAAACTTTGGTATTTGTGGAACAAATGTGGCACAATCCTCCCACACAAGTACACCCGGGGGTATGTTTTGGTGCCAACACCACGGCCAACACCAACACGAGCACCAAAAACACGGTTACGTCGTCTGGTGCTGGAGCTGTGTGTGGGTATGTTAGGATGAGGCTGATTTACATATCGTAGGCCAACCACGAGCACCTGATGTAGAGGTGTCACTGTCGTCATTGTCCTGTTGCTGCGTGACACGCTGCCGCCTGCCGCGACATGTTGCTGAGGCAGCAAACCCCGCATTATAACACCCGCGATGTTCGTATTCGGGTCGTCCACACTACTTGTATCGGAGCCTGTCACTGAAGCCCGAGAAAGATTCATCACAAGTACTATCACTGAATAAACTTGCGTCGGGGGACACACATTGTGATGGTGATGATAACGGTGGTGACCCAGGGCGGCGAAGCAGGCCGGCGATTCGCGTGTACCGTACAGTACACACTCGCAACCTCATCCACCTCATTCTCTCCCTCACTCATATCAGACCTCTGTGTAAGGTTTTTCTCTGGATCATAGTCTAAGTCATCATCCATAGCACCGTCAACATACAAAATGTCGCGTATTTTCTCCTCAGAGAGCAGTTTTCCATGACCGTGGGTGACTGTAAAGCGGGAGCTCGTAGACGATGCATCAGACATGGTTGCAGCTTTGAAACTGAGGCTCCCTATGGCCGTGAGACATGCTGGGATTTTTTTTCAAGATGGCGGTTGATCACTGGGGGGCCCAGGCATCCATTTTGTACCCCGCGTCACCGCACACCAGTTTTGAATGGAATGCTATATATATAAATACCCGGAGGCGCGTTGAGCAACCCTCGTCGAGCGCTTGTAGGCGCGTTGCACAGTTTAGTGATTAATAACCTTCTCTAAGTAAGTTGTCAATGAAGTTTCTCCTTGCATTTCCTTGCCTAACTGCATGCTAGCGCTCAGGGTTCCTTGTAGTTGTTCACAATATGAGTTTGTTTTCTTATTTATTTCTTCAAATACATTTCTGAATTTCCATTTTCCAACCTCATCCAACCTTCCCACTCCAAATTAATTTTTCTTCACTTTTCATGCCTCATTATCTTTAACTAGTTCCTTGATGTGTGCCTCCTGTATCCTTACCTCATCAGTCAAACTGGTAATTTCCTTATCTTGCTGGAAAATACTACCTTTTAAATTATAAAACTTTTTTTTTTTTTTTTTGAGATATATACAAGAGTTGTTACATTCTTGTACAGCCACTAGTACACGTAGTGTTTCGGGCAGGTCCCTGGAATACGATCCCCGCCGCGAAGAATCGTTTTTTGATCCATGTACACATTTTACTGTTGCGTTAAATAGAGGCTACAGTTAAGGAATTGCGCCCAGTAAATCCTCCCCGGCCAGGATACGAACCCATGACATAGCGCTCGCGGAACGCCAGGCGAGTGTCTTACACCACGGAGACTGTATAAAGACTTGATCTTGAGACCTTCATTGTCCTGTTCTAATTTAATTACCTTTTTTCATAATTCTTTTTTATGTTCTCCATATTACTAACCTACCAAGAAAACCACCTTTCATTATATCTTGTTCTGAGAATCCTTCAAAATATACATTTGTTGGTGTGCCCTCCCCTGTGGTGTGTGCCATCTTCGTTGTTGTTGTTCTGTTGTAGTTGAAGAACAACTTAAATAGCCCAGGATTTTCATTCACTTTCACTTATTTCTTGACTGTTTCTTTACAAATTATCTACACCTTCACGTATTATGGGACACAACTAACAGCCCCCACCCCGCTCCCAACAACAGTGTCTTACTGTGGCTGCCTACATCACAATGTGGTTGCCTACGTCTCACAGTGGCTGCCCATGTCTTACAGTGGCTGTCCATATCTTACAGTAGCTGCCCATGTCTTACAGTGGCTGCCTATGTCTCACTGTGGCAGCCTATGTCTTACTCTGGCAGCCTATGTCTCACTGTGGCAGTGTAAGGTCTTGCTGTGGCTACCTATGTCTAACTGCGGCTGCCAATGTCTTGCTGTAGTTGCCTATGTCTTACTGTGACCGTCTATGTCTTACTGTGACAGTCTATGTCCTACTGTGGCTGCCTATCTTACTACGGATGCTTACATCTTACTGTTGCTGCATATGTCTTACTGTTGCTTCCTACGTCTCACTGGACTGCCTACGTCTCACTATAGCTGCCAATCTCTTACTGTTGCTACCTACGTTTTTCTTTGGCTGCCTATGTCTTACTGTGGCAGCCTATATGTTGCTGCACAAAAAATAAGAACAAAATATATATTGTACTGAAATCTTTTTCTAGAAGCATTAGTAATCTCATCATAGGGAGAAGTAAAGGATGAAACCGAGCTAACATTAAAATCTAAGAATGAAAGGAATTTTAGAAGGCCCAATAGGAGCTGAATGAAGTAAGCAGAAATGGAAAGAGAAAAACAAAAAGAAAAAAGGATAAATTAAACAACGGAAATGGAGACACAAATAGATAAGAATAGAAGATACACAGAGAGAAATCACACTTAGGTGATGTGTCAATGAGAAAATCCATAGAAGTCGTGATGACGGGTTCAAACTTATGTGGTGGGTGTTCCCACACGCATGCCCTTGTAACTAGGCCACGACATGGTCAAACGTTTTGCAATCTGGAGTTCTACTGAGCTCACAAGGGTTTCCTGAGCTCACAAGGGTTTCCTGAGCTCACAAGGGTTTCCTGAGTTCACAAGGGTTTCCTGAGCTCACAAAGGTTTCCTGAGCTCTCAAGGGTTTCCTGAGCTCACAAGGGTTTCCTGAGCTCACAAAGGTTTCCTGAGCTCACAAGGGTTTCCTGAGCTCACAAGGGTTTCCTGAGCTCACAAGGGTTTCCTGAGCTCACAAGGGTTTCCTGAGCTCACAAAGGTTTCCTGAGCTCACAAGGGTTTCCTGAGCTCACAAAGGTTTCCTGAGCTCACAAGGGTTTCCTGAGCTCACAAGGGTTTCCTGAGCTCACAAGGGTTTCCTGAGCTCACAAGGGTTTCCTGAGCTCAGTTTCCTCAGTTTCCTCTGGTTTCCTCAGCTCAGCTCAAATCCTCAAATCAAATAAATCTCAGGATAAACAATACCCAAATTTGTAACAAAGTACAGGGCCAATTCCTTGGCGTTCTCATTGACCACAAGCTGAATTTCCAGGGACACATTCTAAATATATCAAAAAAAGTTTCAAAAACTGTTGGCATTCTTTCTAAGATCAGATATTATGTATCTCGCGCTGCCCTGGTGACGCTCTATTATTCCCTCATCTATCCTTATCTCAACTATGGTATTTGTGCTTGGTGTTCTACTACCCAAATCATTTATGTCCTCTAATTACTCAACACAAAAGCTGCTATTAGGACAATATCCAACTCTGGCCCCAGACATCACTCGGTACCCCTACTCAAATCTCTGAATATGTTAGATATTAAGTCACTGCACATCCTCTCATGTGTATTTTATATACATAAAATGCTAAACTGTAATGGCAGTCCTGACCTTAAAAGCTTCCTAGAAGGTTGTAACAGAACCCATGAGCACGACACCAGAAACAAATACCTATTTGATATTCCAAGAGTACGACTTAATCAAACTAGAAAAGCTCTACAAATCTAGGGACCCAGAATGTGGAATGACCTTCCCAGTCATGTTAAAGACTGTACCTCTCCCAACCAGTTTAAGATAAAAAGTAAGCACTACCAAATTAACTCCATGTAACCTACCTTACCCTAAATATCAACCCATGTCTGCCATTTTAAACAATGCTGTTTGTCGACCAACTTGTATATTTGTTATTTTTCTGCCATGTTCCCCCTTTTTTTTTTTTTTCTCAACACAATTTATAATTTAATCTGAATTAGTATTAAGTTTTAGTCGTAGTGTTTTTCCTGCCCGAAACGCTTTGCGTAATAGTGGCTTTAAGCATTGTATGTGCTAGCTCTGACTACAAATCCATCAATGTTTGTATCACACCTTGTATGTATGTACTTTACCTGAATAAACATTTGAATATGAATTTGAGTAGAACTCCAAGTTGCAATCATTTTGACTGTCGTGGCATTGTTGACTAGGTCGTGTGCATGGGAACACCCACCACATAGGTTCTAACTCTCATCACGTCTCCCACGGATTTTCTCATCGACACATCACGTTAGTGTGATTACTCTGTGTATTGAAAGAGGAGCATCAGCAGTAGAACATTCCAGGATGACAGAGCCAGAGTGGATGAAGGGATTGTGTTAAAATTCTGGTCCTGTTTCAGTGGAAGCCTGAGGAAACCCTTGTGAGCTCAGTAGAACTCCAGGATGTAATCTTCTTGACTATGTCATGGCCTAATTGACTTGGACGTGTGATGGGAACACCCACGGCATAGGTTCGAACTCTCATCACTGCTCCTACAAATTTTTTCATAGGAGAAATATTAATAAAAGTGTAATTATGAAAATTATAGTATTGCTTTAAGATGAAATTTTATTTATTATAATGTACTGTATTATAGAACATTATTTTTTGTGTTTTCAGAGTTAAGTCACTTTGTTGAGTCGGTGATGAGTCGGATTGAGTCTTCTCTACAAACACTGCTTCCTTTTGTTATTCAGTCACCCATGTAAGTTTGTCACCATCAAATGCATGTGATTAACTGTGCCTGTATTGTTTTAATAATAATAATAATAATAATAGTTTGTATTCATAAATACATATATATATAGAGAGCATATAACCCATCCTCGTGTTTAGTACCTATTGTGACGATCATCAATAGTAACGAATTCGAACATACAGCACTTAGTTTTTGATACAGTGACACCTCAGCTTACGAATGCCCCTCTTTACAAACTTTTCGGGTCATGAACGCAATTTCTTTGTAAAATCCGAATCAGGTTACGAAATTTTTCTCGGGTAACGTAGTTTGTTGATACGCGTATGGCCGACGTAGCGCATGGTGGCACGGTGACTTGAATTCTTGAATTCAATCCCGCTTGAATTCTTTCTTAAGAATTTTAGTGTTTTTTGTTTTTTGGGGGTATTTGAACATAGAGTGGTACCTCCATTTACGAATTTAATCTGTTCCATGAGACGGTTTGTAACCCGAAAATTTGTAAACCGAAGCGAATTTCCCCATTAGAATTAATGGAAATTGAATTAATCTGTTCCACACTCCCAAAAATATTGACTTCAAAGACAATTTTATACCTAATTCACCCAAATATTTAGTACTAAAGTATGTACAAGTTATTGCTTACCTTTATTGATGACTCTTGTTGGCGTATGGAAGACGGTGAGGAGAGGGGGAGGAGGAGAGATGTTAGTGTTTGGAAGGTCCCCTTATATTATAATATCAGGCAGTGATGACTTCTCTGGGGTATTCTCTCTGGTACGTTTTGCCTGCATACCACTAGGACATGCTTGTGGCTCACCAACCAGTCCTCTTAAAAATAACATCGCTTTTTGCTCGTATTCGCACTATGGCCAAAAATAGACATAATTTGAAATGAAATTGCTCACGAAGTGAGGTACTGTTCTGTTTTCTGTTTGAGTCCTCTGGCTTACTCAGAAAGGTTCGGAGAGGAAACTTTCAATTAACCTTTTTCATGAGGTTTTGAAACTTTAGGAGAATTTCCTGCCCTCCTAATTTACCAGACGACCCTTAACTTATAGTTTTCGAAAAAAATCCAAAAATTTTTTTTTTTTTTAATTTTCAAATTACGTCCATTTTTGGCCATACGGATAAATTGCCAAATTCAGACATAATTTGTAAGAGAACAGGTTGGGCTCACTGCTTGTTTTTCTCACAAAAGATCTATCCATAGAGGCTTGTTTTTCACTATGTAGTAACAGTTGTCTGTAGTGAGGCATCACAGTGTTACTAAAAATATTATGGCAACGACCTACTACAGCGTGCTCTGGGTGAGTTGTTTCAACAAAAGTTTGCATTTCTTCCTTCAGTCTGCACCACTTCCTAATTGTTGAGGAAGGGACATTCTGTACTGCCTTCTCCTCCCCTGAAGACATTTCCTCAGCTGCCTCTTGTTGCTGTTCATTGTGAAGGGCTAGGAGTTCTTCGGTAGTCAGTTCTTCACTGTGTTCCTCCACCAACTCATAACACACAACACTTACAACTCTCACAACACTATGAATACCACTTCTTATTCTAAATTTCTCAAACCATCCCCTGCTCACCTTAAGCTCTTTCATATCTGCATCATTTGTTCCTGGGGTGTGTGATAAAGTGGCAAAAGGTGTATCAACAATCATGAAACAAAGAACACGAAAACTTGATGTTGAAAAGATGTTAATAACCATAGCACTGCGCAAAGCACCTGTAGGAACTCGACAGGTGGTGCACAATGCGGCTCGGGGATCTTATAGGTAGAGCGTATGATTCAAACCACGTGGGCTCCCAGCCGGTTCGTTTGTCTGCTCGCCACAGATTTGCTTTTTTCCCAGCTCGCCAGGTTCGGGTTCTTGATGAACTGGTGGAAGTCCCATCTGGTTCCCTCTCAGGTTCGGTCTTGACTGGGTCTTGTGTGGGATGCTCGGACCGCTTACTAGTCTCCACCTCCGGTGGCTCTGCTTCGCCTGCGTTCCCGCCTTTTTCAGTTTCTGAGGGGCTTCCGGGTCATGCAGTGGTTGCTCGAGGGTTTGTGCGAGGGCCTGAACTTTGCCATGGTCTTCCCGCCTGGTCGGGTGTTGCTTCGTCGGCTGTTCTGGTTCGTTCGGGGACGTTCCTTCCGCCTCTCACGCGACCGCTGGGTTCGGCCTCCGAGAGCTTTACATCGGTTGCTGCGTCGCCGGCTTCCTTTTTGGGTTTTTCAGGGTTCAGTGACTTGGCGCCTACCTGAGCCCTCGCTCGATGTGTTCACGGACACGCTGTCTCCCAGCTGGGGCTTTGTGACCAGTGCTCACCAGGCTGGCCAGGGTCGGTGGGGTCCGTCCTTCTGTCGGGCTCACAACACAGTGCGGGAGTTCGCGGCGGTGTGGATGTATATATATGTATTAGGCCCGATTTGCCTAATAAGCCAAGTTTTCCTGAATAAATATATTTTCTCTAATGTTTTTCTTATGAAACGATAAAGCTGCCCATTTCATTATGTATGAGGTCAATTTTTTTTATTGGAGTTGAAATTAACGTAGGTATATGACCGAACCTAACCAACCCTACCTAACCTAACCTAACCTATCTTTATTGGTTAGGTTAGGTTAGGTTGCCGAAAAAGTTAGGTTAGTTTAGGTTAGTTAGGTTATGTAGTCTAAAAACCATTAATTCATGAAAACTTGGCTCATTAGGCAAATCGGGCCTTGCATAGTAGGCTGAGAAGGGCATTCTGGCTACTAGGTACGACATATATATATATATATATATATATATATATATGTCGTACCTAGTAGCCAGAACTCACTTCTCAGCCTACTATGCAAGGCCCAATTTGCCTAATAAGCCTAGTTTTCATGAATTAATGTTTTTTCGACAACCTAACCTACCTAACCTAACCTAACCTAACGTTTTCGGCTACCTAACCTAACCTAACCTATAAAGATAGGTTAGGTTAGGTTAGGTAGGGTTGGTTAGGTTCGGTCATATATCTACGTTAATTTTAACTCAATAAAAAAAAATTGACCTCATACATAATGAAATGGGTAGCTTTATCATTTCATAAGAAAAAAATTAGAGAAAATATATTAATTCAGTAAAACTTGGCTTATTAGGCAAATCGGGCCTCGCATAGTAGGCTGAGAAGTGAGTTCTGGCTACTAGGTACGACATATATATATATATATATATATATATATATATATATATATATATATATATATATATATATATATATATATATATATATATATATATATATGTCGTACCTAGTAGCCAGAACGCACTTCTCAGCCTACTATGCAAGGCCCGATTTGCTAAATAAGGCAAGTTTTCCTGAATTAATATATTTTCTCTCATTTTTTTCTTATGAAATGATAAAGCTTCCCATTTCATTACGTATGAGGTCAATTTTTTTTAATTATAGTTAAAATTAACGTAGATATATGATCAAACCTAACCAACCCTACCTAACCTAACCTAACCAATCTTTATAGGCTAGGTTAGGTAGCCGAAAAAGTTAGGTTAGGTTAGGTTAGGTTAGGTAGGTTAGGTAGGTTAGGTAGTCAAAAAGCAATTAATTCATGAAAACTTGGCTTATTAGGCAAATCGGGCCTTGCATAGTAGGCTGAAACGTGCGTTCTGGCTACTAGGTACGACATATATATATATATATATATATATATATATATATATGTCGTACCTAATAGCCAGAATGCACTTATCGGCCTACTATGCAAGGCCCGATTTGCCTAATAAGCCAAGTTTTCCTGAATTAATATATTTTCTCTAATTTTTTTCTTATGAAATGATAAATCTAACCATTTCATTATGTATGAGGTCAATTTTTTTTTATTGGAGTTTAAATTAACGTAGATATATGACCAAACCTAACCAACCCTACCTAACCTAACCTAACCTATCTTTATAGGTTAGGTTAGGTTAGGTAATGGAAAAAGTTAGGTTAGGTTAGGTTAGGTAGGTTAGGTAGTCGAAAAACAATTAATTCATGAAAACTTGGCTTATTAGGCAAATTGGGCCTTGCATAGTAGGCTGAGAAGTGAGTTCTGGCTACTAGGTACGACATATATATATATATATATATATATATATATGTCGTACCTAGTAGCCAGAACTCACTTCTCAGCCTACTATTCAAGGCCCGATTTGCCTAATAAGCCAAGTTTTCCTGAATTAATATATTTACTATAATTTTTTTCTTATGAAATGATAAAGCAACCCCTTTCTCTATGTATGAGGTCAATTTTTTTTTATTGGAGTTAAAATTAACGTAGATATATGACCAAACCTAACCAACCCTACCTAACCTAACCTAACCTATATTTATAGGTAAGGTTAGGTTAGGTAGCCAAAAAAAGCTAGGTTAGGTTAGGTTAGGAAGGTTAGGTAGACGAAAAAACATTAATTCATGAAAACTTGGCTTATTAGGCAAATCGGGCCTTGAATAGTAGGCTCAGAAGTGCGTTCTGGCTATTAGGTACGACATATATATATATATATATATATATATATATATATATATATATATATATATATATATATATATATATATATATATATATATATATATATATATATGTCGTACCTAATAGCTAGAACGCACTTCTCAGCCTACTATTCATGGCCCGATTTGCCTAATAAGCCAAGTTTTCATGAATTAATGTTTTTTCGTCTACCTAACCTACCTAACCTAACCTAACCTAGCTTTTTTTGGCTACCTAACCTAACCTTACCTATAAATATAGGTTAGGTTAGGTTAGGTAGTGTTGGTTAGGTTCGGTCATATATCTACGTTAATTTTAACTCCAATAAAAAAAAATTGAGCTCATACATAATGAAATAGGTAGCTTTATCATTTCATAAGAAAAAAATTAGAGAAAATATATTAATTCAGGAAAACTTGGCTTATTAGGCAAATCGGGCCTTGCATAGTAGGCCGAGAAGTGCGTTCTGGCTACTAGGTACGACATATATATATATATATATATATATAT